AACAATTGTTTTCATTGTTGCCAAAACAAATAAAATTCCATTGTTTTTTTTTTCTTGGTGAAGACATTAAAGAGTTAAAAGACCCTGAAAATTCATTAATTTAAAGTGATATTGGTTTTATGTTTAAGCAATAGAACACGAGAGGGAGTGTGTTATCTCGAAATAACATCACGGCTGTGATTTGGTCGCAGATCATCACAGCCGTGATGTTATTCGCGATAATACAGGACCTCAAGTGTTCTACTGCTTTTATACAACAGTTAAATAAATAAAGTGAGAAATAAATAAATTGGGCTCTGAATGTGGCATTTAATATGTTTTAATGTTAGCAGTTCCTTCTGTCAAATTATAGTTCCTTAACAAGCAGCTTGTTGCTACGTCAGAGTAACGAACTCCGCTCACTCTCTGCACAGTCTGCTGTAAGCCTCGCCTTTTAACGAACGAACTGAGCCATAAAACTGCCGCAATATCACGTTCCAGCCAGTCTGTAAAGCATCTTACAGCCCATTTTGTTTGGAGAATGGTTCGGTTCATTTCTAGCTAATTGCAGGTTGTTTAGGTGTTCTTCTGTCACAGCTGCCGACTGAGAAGCTTGCTCAGATGACAGTTTGGGAATTTAGTGTAGTCTCATCTTCAGAGTCTGACCAAATCGGCTGTCGGTCAAATGTGATCTAAAAAGTATCCATTTTCTGTTTGTGCGCGAAGTGAGAAGTAAAAACGTTCAAATGGTAGGTGTCATTTACAGCTGTCAAAGTCGTTGCTTAGTGTCTCAGCGGAGTGACACAGTGTTTATGAAAAAGCTGTGCTGTTTTGGCGAAATAACAGCGCAGTTAGAACGCTTCTCATCCAATCAGCTTGCGTGGCCAGAACTAACCGTTGTATAAAAAAAATACTATGTGAGAAACTGAAAAATGCTGTTCACATAAGTATTTAACCCCTTTGCTGTGGAAGCTCCAAGTGATACAGATGAAAGATTTTACCCTAACAAGGACACAGTTGGCTTACAAGAGATTACCTTTTCTGGATAAAAGACACCTTAATTAGAATGGCATTGATCAGACTGTGAATCTGAAGTAAAGCTGTGAAAATGAAGACCAAAGAGCATTTTAAGGAAATTTGAGATATAGTTATAGACATGTACATGATAGGAAAAGGCCACAGAATAATATAAGTGTTTGGATTTCCCTTTGAGGACTACTGGATCAATTGTGAACAAATGGAAGCTGCATGATCCCACCCAGGCACTGCCTAGATAAGACCATCCCTCAAAACTCAGCAACAGCAAGAAGGGGACTTGTGAGGGATGCCACTGAGAGGCCAACAGTCACTCTGAAGGAGCTACGGAGTTCAGTGGCTGAGACTGGAGTAAAGGGGCACCTGTCAATGATAGCAAGAGCTATTGGAGGGTGGCTAGATAGAGGCCTTTACTGAAACAAAAACAAATCAAAGTATGTCTGGACCCAGTTACAATGTGGGATAAGGTTTTGTGGTCAGATGAGATGAAAATGGAGCTTTTGTGTTTTTACACCATCCAAACAGTGAATTATGGGGGTGGCAGCATCATGTTATGGAGAAGCTTTTCTTTTCTTCACTGGGGACTGGGCATCTTGTTAAAATTAAAGGATGAATGGATGGTGCAAAATACAGCGAGAGTGAAGGTTAACACAGGGTCGATGGTACAACAAAATGTGTTGAACGAGAAAACAGGTCAGCTCAGCGACAAAAGCGCTAGTCATATAAAATATAAAATCTAAGAAATAATGAAATAAAGATGGGATGAGAATATGCAATATGGAATCTTTAGATTTTGAGTTGAAATGCCAGACAGCCTAGCGGTAAAAACTGTTCCTAAGTCTGGTGGTACATGCAGTCATGCTCCTGTATCATCTGCCAGACGGTAACAAAGAGAACAGCCTGTGTACCAGTTGCCTGTGGTCTTTGATGGTGCTGTGTGCCTTCCACAGGCACCGCTGGTGGAAGATATACTGAATGGCCACCTGTACCCTGTCAGCACACACTCACACTCAGCAGCAGGGAAAATGCTAACTCGCCATTCTAGCCAAAAAAGCAAGGCCAGGTGGCCAAATAAAACATATAAGAAACGTGTACACAGAAGGGACTGCAGCCCAGGAGGAAAGAAAACATGTTGATAGTGAAGCCAATGGGAAAGAAGTAAGTTTTACCCAAACAAGATTGTGTGAAACAAAACAGCTCAATTAGTTTCATTTAGTTATACACATTTTTGAGTAACATTAATGAGAGAGAAACTATTAAAACCAACAGTGCAGTTTCATTTTTTGAGTGTGGTGTTTTCAAAGCTGCCAATGGCAACAGACTAAACCGAATTGCAATTTAAGTTGATTCCATTTAAAAATGCCATTTAAAGGTACAAAATCACCAAAAAAGTTACCTTAACTTAAACTAGTCAAATAATATGTGGGATACATTCAGTTTTATTTACAACAAATTTAATTTATTTGAGTTAAAACAAAATGTCAGATTGTTGAGACAATGCAAGACAACCTGCTTCAGTCTGCCAAAAAACTAAAGCTTGTGAGAAACTTCACTTTTCAACAGGACTATGATCCCAGGCACAAAGTCAGTTCAGTGAAGTGAATGTTCTACAATGGCCAAGTCCAATTCAATCAACAATCTGAGGCACTACTTGAAAATTGCAGTCCACAAGAGCTAACCAACAAACCCATACACGAAGCAAATTTTCCAGGACGAATGGATGAAAATCTCTCTCAAACAGTGTGCAAAGCTGGTAGAAACTTACCCTAACAATAAAGCTGTTATTGCAGCAGAAGGTTGTTTGAAGGAGCCGAATACTTATACAAGAACTTTTTTTTTTAAGATCTGTTGACAAATAATGAATTTTGACCTTGAAAAATTACTTTGAGAGCATATTGGTTTGCAATTAAATACTTGCTAGGACAATCTGTGTAAGTCATTTGTAATCCAGATGAATCTGATGACTTTTAAGGGAGCTGAATACTTTTGCAAGACACTTTATATATCAGTCTTAAAGACACAGTAACAAAAACAGCCTGTTTAATTCTAAGGATCAGTAAAGAGTGGAAATGGCAATGTTACAATGAATTATAATTGGTTTTTCCCCTCCAGGAAAAACATAAAATTCACAAAAAATGTAGGATATTGAGCCTTTAAGGTTCAGTTACTGAAGAGCTGGCTGTGAAGGGACCTGAAAAATGAGACCTTGGGAAAAGCCTATAAATGGTCCACTGTCTCCATCTTTAGTTCAAATGGAGAATTAGCAAACTTCTTACCAAGTTTACTTGCCCCATTTACTTCACTTTATCAGCAACCTGAATGTGCATAATACTTAACTGAATAGCAAATGTTTTAACCTATTTATTCTTAGAAATTTGTTATCATGCAACATGCAATAATTTGGGACAATTACTGTTAAAAGCACGTTATACGGGTTTGTAGCCTAACAGGTATTCAAAAAAAAAAAAGGATTACTGTAAAATTAGCATCAATATCATTGTTTATCCAGATCTGTAGGTAGAAACTATAATCAGTGACTTGTCTAATACAGTCAAATGTATAGGACGAATTCAGGTACAGTGGCACACTTTACCGTAGCGAGACTGTACATTGCTGCTTCCTTTAGCCAGTGACACAGCTGCTACTGGTTGTGAGCTGAATATGAATAAATGTAACTTAGATATTGCTGTGTGTGCTCTGAATATGAATACATGTTACTTAGATATTGCTATATGTGTGCTGAATATGAATAAATGTCTTGGATTGGTGTGATATCAACTTAGTGGGTTTGGCTGAATTTTAAAAATCTAATTCCTCAGAAAAGGAAAAAGTACAACAGCATAAAGCCTTTAGTTTTTTCATGCATTATATTAGTGCCTGTCCTTTGGTTTTAGAATGAGTACAAAACCAATAATCTTTTATTAGATTTTGATAATGAGCTGCTGATTATGAATTTTAAATATGGCAGCAACAACTTTGTCTGTCCAGCCGTCCACTCAAGCTGAATGCCACTTGAAAAAGACAAAGAATGTCACACGCAAAAGTTTGCAGACAGCTGCTCATCCAACATTTTTACTGAAATCAATATGGAGTTTGTCCTCCTTTGCAGCAGTAACAGCCTCTACTGTTTCAAGAAGGCTTTACACTAGATGCGGGAACATTGCTGCGACGATTTGATTGCATTCAGCCACACATTGGACGACACAAATTCCACTCCAACTCATCCCAAAGTATTGGATAGTGCTCCATTACTCCAGAGGCAGCCCAAAACAGAGGGGCTTTATATAATGAGTGATACATTCGCTGGTTAGAAGGAGTGTCTGGACACGTTTGGACATACAACTAGATGTAACTATTACGCTGCCTTGAAGTACTCCTCGGAAGTTCCTACTTACGACCTGGGAGGTCGTGAGAACTGATTTGCGTTTTGATCGGAAACAAGACAGGTGCACTAAAAAATATGACTAATGTTTTTATCCAGATAGAAGCATCAGACAGAATGTGCTTATTTTCGTGTGTGGATGATTTTAGCCTGCTGCGTTCATGTGCGGCTGCTGAATTATTGGAATACACCCATGACACGCCCCCAACTCGGAAACTCGGGGCTCATCGAAAAATCCGAGTGTAAATGCAACATTGTGGCGATGCAACGATGTTTCCGACACGACAGCAAAACGTCAGCACAGAAATAAGCACCAATATAAATATAGCTAGTTAATATAATTTAAGTTGAGAACTAGTTTTGGGACTGTTCTGAAAAAAACTCGTTTGCCAAAAAGTGTCCCCATCAACCTGAATTAAATTACATTCACATTAATTAAATTAAATTCTATTTTATTTTATTTTTTATTTATTTAGTTTATTTTGTTTGCAACAACTGTAAAAAAAAAAACAAAAACAAAACAAAAAAAAAACTCGACGTTGCGTTCAGTCTTTGTACGGGAGAAATCCTGCAACCGGAAGTTTGCTGCAGAGACTTGCCGGAAGTTCTCCAGAGCTGTTTTGTTGCCTGCTAGAGGGGATAGTGGTGAAAATGGCGACGTCTCGTCGCGCTGTCCAACAGCAGCAGCAACAAAACTTCTCGTCCCCTCCGAGAGTTACTCCGAGTCCGCTCACTCCGCCAGGTTCTCTCCCGGCGAGCGGCGTTCCTGCGGTATCAGCTCCAGCAGGAGCGGAGCAGCAGGAGAGTGTCGCGGATCCGGAGGCCAGTCCGGCCTCCCCCGACATCCCCGCTGCTCTCCTCAGCAGCAGCGGCAGCAGCAGCTCCTCCACCACCACCAGCACCTCTACGCCTGGCGGGGCCAGCAGTGGCGGCTCCAGTCCTGACTCGGGCGGCCCCAGTCCCGCCGGCGGTGGAGGAGGCGGCGGCTGCGGGACTAGCGGCGCTTTTAGGGAGCTTTTCGAGGCCTGCCGTAATGGAGACGTGTCTCGGGTAAAGAGGCTGGTGGATTCGGTCAACGTTAACGCGAAGGACATGGCTGGACGCAAATCCACTCCGCTTCATTTTGCTGCGGGTAACTCTACATGTTTTGCTGAGCTAACTTATTCAGCTAGAACTCTGGCAAACGGTTACATATAAACAGTGCTGCTGGACTGAAGGCTGGTGAAACGGACCGTCCGTTTTGTTTATTTTCCCGTAAACCGTAAACTAGCTGGCTTAGCTAACTAATGTTTCCAAGGCTGCGAATTCATATCCCTTTTAATGAGAAGAACCCTAGTTAAATGGCCGGGCGAGTAAATCCTGAGTCGGAGTATTGCTTAAACGTTACATAGCAAATGTTATCATTTACTTGCCTTGCTGGACTCTTTGGTTAGTAATCTAATACGAGAGTAAATTAGCTAGCTCAGTAAGCTAGAACTGATAAGTTAACGAAATGCAAGAATTTTCGTTGTGTGTCTGTAAACCGTTTCGTTTGATATGATGTTACATGCAAAAATGTTTAATGGACATTAAAGTTAATACTTAAGTGTGAGAACTTGGTTATGTACCTTAAGGGCCAGCAGTTGGTAAAATACAATGAGTTATTTTATGGTAGCTATTACGTTGCCCTGTTGTGGATGATTAGTTTTAGACTGTTTTTCTCAGCACAAAGCAATAAGGCATCCTGACCTCTGTTGGGCTTTCATCTTTTTGCTGTTCTGTTCCTAACCCTGTTTTATTACTTTCCTGTGGCTGCATGTAATCTAATCGGTTGATTGAACAAATGGTGAAAAGATGCCTTTGGGTGTCCCAGTGGTGTTGATGAGCTCACTGTTATTGAATACGTGCAGTTTTGATTTTGAGAGCTGGCTGAAATCGCTGGGAAAAGTGGATGCAAAGTGTGTGCTTAGTGGATCAGGACTAACATCTCATGGGAAATGTTTCATTCTACAAGTGTAGTCAAATTTTACAGGTCTTCGTTAGTTTGTCACAGTTATACACACGTGGTATCAGAGTAATAACATTTAAATTGAGTAGCATTCTTCGTTTGGAGCATATATGCTCTCCATGTGTTGAAAGGTAATTTGTGCTGTTTTTAGGATGAGCTGTTAGCTGAACACACCCTTGTGTGTTCTGCCTTTTGAAAATATAGCACTGATCAGTAGTTTTCTGAAGTAGTCTTCGCTCAGCAGCAGATTCTACCCTGCATTTTAGGTTTTTCAGGATTTCCATGTCCAGCTACAGTTTGCAGAATGAGTAGTATGTTTTGAAATTGTGTACTTGAAAACTCTGATTTATGTTTTTGGTGGAAAATAGTTGCATGCAAAACATGTAGTGTCTGTGGTAGAATGTTTACATTGATACTGTAATGCTATCATTTCAAAATGTGGGAACACTTATGTTGATTGTTTTTGTGATTTTAATGTACAGCAATAACTAACGTGGATTTAAATATTACAAAGTAGACACCAGTGGGTACTTTAAATTGCTTGCTCAGTATAAAAGGGGTAGAGATGGGCAATATGTCATTTTATTGTTATTGTGGTTAAAATGTGCCTTTCTGAGTGTTTTATGCATATTGTCAATACTTACAGGGGAATTCCACCGTTTTTAAAAAATGTATGCATAATTCAAAGGTTACAGAATAAACAGTTATTCAGAGGGTTTGATGTGAAATGCTCCATTATAGAGAAACTCACTAAGTCAGAAACCTTCACATTGGTGGAGACAACAAGAAGAGTTATTACATGATATGGTTATGACTACACTGCTTGATGTCTGAGACATTGTTTTACGATAGTTCTTAGATAAATGTTTGGGCTGAAGTGTGTTTTGCAAGTGATGTAAGGCAAAATAGTTCCCAAAATAAACAATTTACCACTATTACACCATTATCAACTTTACATATTTAAAAAATCAGAAGACACCTGTAGCTTGACTGGTCGTTATAAATACAAAATAAAATGGCTTTATTTGCCATATATACCCCTAGTTCCTATCACCATCACTGTAAAGAAGCCTGTAAATTTCTCTAAAATGCACCACTTCACATCAAACCTCTCTGAATGACTCACTAATTAAGCTGTGCAGAAATTTTGAAAAATTGGTGGAATTCCCTTGTAAAGAACAGTGATCAACTACATGTTTCATTAGAAAGAGAACATAATTAGTCTTGTTTAATTGGATTTTCTGCAGTACAGTGTGTGAAGTGTTGAATAAAAATAGTTTTGGTGGAAGTTTTTAAATATGACACTGCTAGTACTACTAGTGTGTCTGTGTGTCAAAATATTGCAATATGTATTGTGTATTTAGAAGTACCTACACCAAGAAGTTATTACATACTTATTAATATACTGTAATGATATATTCACGGAATCTTTGGACAAGATATCTACTGTGATCTCGTTTTTTTTTAAATGGGCATTCTGGGTATTATTACGGGCATTATTATGGGTAATAATAGGTATTATTTTAGGTATAACATTGTTTTACAATTTTCTCAACTATTATTGACTCTTCTACAGCTTTATTCATCACTGTGAATAAATCAGTTTTTAATCGATTACAGCTCCCTAATAATTATTTGAAACCTATGAAGTTGGTGAGTAGCAGTGTCACATTAGAGTCATTGTATAAATTATATATGTTGTCTATACAACCGCGACCCAGAAGGATAAGCGGTTTAGAAAGTGTGTGTGCGCCTATATAGTAATAAGTAACAAACTGTAACCTTGTTACGTAATAAATAAGGTTAATACCTTTTCTGTTAATTCTCTTCTTGATACCATTTATTTTCAAGTGTCTTGCTATCCCTTTGCTACTGTAGCACTGTGAATTTCCCCCGATGTGGGACTAATAAAGGAATATCTTATCTTGTATACGCAAAATTGGTTTAATATTGTGATTCTAAACTTTTCAACTGTGATTTCTAACTTATTAAATGCCAGTGTACATGTGGTTCTAAATCTAAAATTTCTCTCTAGGTTTTGGGAGGAAAGACGTAGTGGAGCATCTTCTACAGACAGGGGCAAATGTGCATGCCCGAGATGATGGTGGTTTGATCCCCCTCCACAACGCCTGTTCTTTTGGCCATGCTGAAGTGGTCAGCTTGCTGCTGTGCCAAGGAGCTGACCCCAACGCTAGAGACAACTGGAACTACACCCCACTACATGAGGCTGCCATAAAGGGCAAAATTGATGTGTGCATCGGTAAGTGTTTGTTTGTTTCTTAAACTGCACTAATTGTTTGCTAATTTTCTGGGTTACTTTCCTCTCTTGGAGGAAAGATACTGCATTGTTTGTGTGCATGTAAGTTTATTTCATACATCTTTAATCCTCCACAAACGTAATTGATCATTTATTTATGTAAAATTGACTTTAATTCTGATGTGATTAGTCTAATGTTTGGTCTTTGTTTAATGGCTAAGGCTTAGTAGAGTGCCTCTGTAGATTGCAGAGACATTCAACCAAATTGTGTTAGTAAGCATAGAAGATGTATGACTTCAATTTTTTTCAGTTTTGCCTGAGGAATCGTTTTCAATAAGGGTTAACCATGTGGCATTTTTCTTGATTAGGTTTGGTGGCTGACTTTCTTACACAGCTATTAATCAGTTCTTCACTGTTTTGTATTCATGAGAAATTTAAATTCGCTTCTTGGGGGTGAAAAGACAACACTGTGTCATCCAAGAGTTCAGTCTTTCATTTGCCCTCAGCAGAATGTTTCCTTTTCAGAACGTTCTCTGCAGTTTCTCACTGCCTGTGATTTCTTCATCAGTTACAAATATTTTTTCGGTCTCTTAATCATTGTTCGGACTGTAAGCCTGAAGCATTATGTCCTATATGCAAACTGTGTGTAGTTTTGTAGTAAATCAGTTAAGATGCATCTGTTCACCGAGCTTAATATGATTCTTGTTATTATAAAGGCTGAATTCTTCTTAGCAGTGATGCATGCTGAGATCGCAATCATATTGGTGTCAGCAAATATTTGCTTAAAAGTTACCGGTATCAGACAGAGATTTAGATTTGACTGATATTTCAAACGGATATTTATTGATGTATTTATTGTACTCTGGAAGAAATAAATGTCTATTTCTCTGTTATGCTAATCCAGGTGGATTTAAACCCATTTCACACCAGATGCAACGTGGTGCGCTTGGTAATCCGGAACTATTTCGCAACACTTATTATTTAACATGATCCTGTTTGCGTTGCGTTTTCACGTCTGCTTATTGCTTGAATAAACTTTTCATAGATGACATTAAGAGATTAAAAAAAAAAGCTGAATTGTTGCTGTGACTGTTGCTAGCTTTTTCACCATGTAATGTATAGCTATACGAAGGGGGGAGAAGCATGTGGGTTCAAACAATAACCTACTGAAGAGATTTAAAACTACGTTAAAACTACATTTATTGATTAGCCTAGATTGTATATCATAAACACTGGATTTCTTTGCTGATTTAGCCTATGATGTGCTAGCATGCCACGTGCGCTTTACCAGCACGGTGTGACATGATGCGCGTAGCCAGTGTGGAAGGCTACATTGCTAAATATAGGGGTGTATAGCTTGGCTTGGCGTGGTGCGTCGTGTGGCGAAGTTACTGCGTCTGGTGCGAAATGAGCTTCAGTCCTCATTTCTATATTTTATAAAAGTTTATGTTCATATTAATTGGTGGGGTATAAACATTAATTACTTCTTAGCTACAATAGCATCATAGCGCCATTGCAGACCTAACAAAGCAAACTTCGGATATCAAATATGTTTTGGCTAATTGATTCCAATTGGGATAAGAGGGAAATAGCGTATGTATTGTGCGTTTATTTTTATTTATTTATTTATTTATTTTTTGCCAAATTAAGCTTTAAGAAAGACCCAACACAATGCAACATGTTTTACTTGTGTTATCTGGAAAATGGCTTCTTCAGTGACAGTGACGAGTAGTTTTTGAAACAGTCAGCAGAGCCACACGCATTCAGACAGAGTGATCTGTGACTGTATGGTGATGCTTCAGTGGCAGCATTTGTTCTGTATATAAAGGTTGTAACATTTTTGTTTTTTTCTTTCAAAGCTGAAACATGTTTGACTCTTTCCCTGGAAAGAAGTACCTTTGTTTTCTGTCAGAATGATCTGAACCTAGCTGTCATATTAGTTTCTCACAGGTTTCTGGATTTGGCATAATTTCACTGTGAAATTAAGCATTGTAAGTGTGATTGATTGCGCAGGAGGACAAATTAATCTCACCTCGTCACGTCCCAGTGATTATTTGCTGGAAGAAAAGGAATTGGATTTGAAAAGCACTCTCTCAAACCCCATGGAATGATCCTGTCTTTTCCGAAAATTGCTCTCTAATATAGTGAATTGAAAACCTCAGTTTATGCTAAATTGAATACATTTGCAGTCATTTTGTTTGATTTTATTTTATTAACCAAAATGTGAGCCGATAGGAATTGTCTGACTGGAAAATTGACATTTAGTGAATTTCGAAACACTGATTAAAAGTGTTCCTCCATATTGTCCAGCTTTACATTGTAGAGTGCTTAACGTTCTCCTCCTGCAGTGCTGTACTTCCACTACTGGGGAAAATATTTGTCGTCGGCCTACATGTACTAGTCCTCCTGCGTTGGGCACTGACTCACACCAGGTTGAGAGACAGTTCAGAAAATAGATGTTGTGTTAGGGGCAATGCTTGAATTGTATTGTAACCTTTTATTAGAAAATATCTCATATTCATATCATATTTTAACTTACTACAAAGTCACTTTCAGCAGTCAGTTTCAGAATTTTGCCTCAACAGCAGTGAACCTGTTCTGTTTTTAGGTGGATAATAAGCAGGATAATTAGCTCTTCTGTTCACCTGCTGGGTTGAAGTTAAACTCACTGTTTCCGTAGACTTTGTCATTATTCTTTACTTTGCTAATTGAGTTGGATCATTTTTAAAAAATGGATGTGGAAAGAAAAAAATGTATTGCTATGTTTAGATTACTGATTATTATGAGAAAATGTTTAGAGTTTTTCAGTCCAAAAACGCTTTTTGTGAAACTTTAGCTTACTGAAATTGAGGCCAGTATAGCTGATTGACTATAGTATCAGTAATCACTGATAGATTGCTTCTATCACGTTTCTGTCGCCAGCCATTATTTATTTAATTCTGTCGCCAGTCATTATAATTGCAATTAAATGTCAGAAAATCTTGTAATCTTGTCTTGTAATTAGTGTCGTCTTTTAATGTGTTGTCCATGTCTGTATTGATCCTTTTGGTTCTAAATATTCATTTGGTTTACCTTTTTTCTTTGCCTGATTTGATCTGCAGGACACTGTTTTGGCACCTTAAATTCTGCCGTGACATCCAAACCTGAGTTGTCACACCCCCAGCTTTTACCTGTCCCACAGATTTCATCACCTCTGCCCTTTGATCGTGATGAATAAATAATCTCCCTCCACTCTGGTAATTAGGGTCGCTGCTGGTCTCCAGTCATTAATTTCTGTGTCCATCCACACAAAGCTGCAGGAGGGCAGTTTAAAATTGGAGGTCATTTGCTGTCAATCCTTAGTTCAAAGATGGATGGCGATAATGGTGACGGTGTCTCCTTTTTTTGCCACGGCCCTGACCTGCCTGCTGGATGAACAGGTCTGCTCTCTTTACTGCTGCTGGTGATGAATGACTAAAGAAGCATCGGCAGTAGCAGAACCCAGGGCAGTGACGCAGTGGAAGACGCAGCTACTGCTGCTGCTCCCTTTTAGCCTTGAGCCTTAGATGCTCTTTAATTCTCAGACTGTGCATGTTTGTTAACATGCATTTGTAAACATGAACCCCTAAACCATTAATGTAGTATGTGATTGTGTTTTTCTTTCTTGAAACATCCTTCTTTACTTGGCACTGCAGTGAGTACCAGAACGGTCTATTTTCAGCCAAGGCTAATTTGGCATTGTCAGTCTTGTTTCTCACCTAATGTGCCGGCAGCTCTAATGAACAGCCACTGCCGTGTCAGCTGGCACTGATGGGCCTGTATTTCAGGGCTGCTCTTAACCCTAATGGCAGCAGAGTCATGCGCATTGTGATGCATTAACCAAAGCACCCACACTTTCCCAGTGGCTTTCTATTACTCTGCCTTCTCAACGCCTGACCATAATTATACCACTTTTCTAATCACATCCTAACCACCAATTACTGTGGGTCTGCATGTCAGCTCTTGAGCACAGGGGTCTCTTGGAGCAGCTGTGCAGTTCATGGCAGCACCTGTTTCAAAGCTGGCTGCAGCCGCTTGCACCGTTTACGACCATGCTCCTCCAAACAAAGGTACCTGCTTTTGTATTCTGGTTGCGGCTGCTCCCGGCTGCCGTGATGCACCCCGTGAGCCCTAGGGGTGAAGGTATCTGAGTGATTCAATTAAGTTTTGATCCTCTTAGGAAATGATTTGGTGCAGCATGAAATTTCAGATTTCACCACTGCTTTGATTCAGTTGGTGTGATTCCAAATTATTTAAAAACATACATGCAATACACAAATGCAACTGGAAGAACTATCCATAATAGTGAAACAAATGCATTAAAACAATACACAAAGTTTTTTTTTTTTTTTCTGGAGGGACGTTTACTTACGAAAGTAGCCCATTTTTATTTTGGCCAAAAATGGAGTGCATACTTATTTAATATTTTTTGGATCATTTAAAATTGATAGAGATAGCTAAATCAGATATTGGAGTGGGAAAAAAGAAATAATGAATATGATCCTTTCCTGAAATGAATAAAACTGAAATAGCCCACACTCATATTCTTGTGTCATGTTCTTAGTTGTTTATTTTTTCCTGTACATGATGACCTACAGTACTCAAGGTTCAATATTAGTGTCGTTGTCAGAAAATTTGGTATTGTACCATCTTTAACAATTGATTGTGCCATTCCAAAATTGATACAGGTCGCTGCATTTCGACCCCCTTTGCAAGCTGGCAGTGGGGCCGAGGGTGGCGGTTAGTGAGGTGGCTCTGGCGCTCCACCTCACGCCTCGTTTGATAGATAGTGAGGCTGCCGGAAGCACGCTTGCGAATTTTAATCACCCCATCGCTGTCATCCTTCTGACACTACACCCCCCACACCCACCCCAACATCACCATTCCACTCGACAGCCCACCGCTCAAGTGCTTTCATGACACCGGTGTATGCTGATGTACTTTCTGTGGGCCTTTTATCAGGACTTATGGTTGGAACATTTTGTGCCTCTTAAAGCATGCTAATAATTCTTCTTTTTTAAAAAAAAATGCTTGTGCTCTGTCTTGGCGCTGCATCGTATTTCAGGACGACACAGAGCTTGTCAGAAATTGGACTCCTTTTTAACGAGAAAACGGATGACCTATGAGTCACCAAAGTGCCAGCAGCATTTCAAAAACACCCTTGTCCATTTTCTTTTCCTTTTTCTTTTTTTTTTTTTGTTTTGTGCGTTAGCTTCTTCCTTCTTAGACATACATCAAAAAAGCGAATGCAGACCACCCCCGTGTTTGTTTAGGAGTATTTCTCCCCTTTTGTGAGAACAGAACAACCTTTTGCATCAACATCAGCATGCCCTGATTCGCTGGGTGCTGTGCAGGAGCGTGGACAAAGAAGTAAAGAAGGAGTCTCTATAATAGCCCCTCTGGCTAGTGATAGTGCAGATGTGTTTAGAATGGAAGCCTACGCTGTGAAGCGCGAGAGGGAGAGAAGGCGTACGTGAGCGTGCACGTGAAGGAGGGGTTGAAAGTGGGGAGGGACGTAGCTGGGGCAGAGGGAGGGGAGGTGTGAGTGTGTACATGCTTGCGTTGTTGAGAGAGAGGGAGAGAGTGAGCGAGGGAGAGAGGAGTGCAAACAGTTAGGGGACGCTGGCCACTGTAGGTGCACTGCTAGCTGTAGGAGACTAAAAAGCAGAGCGCTACAAAACAGCATCTCTCTGTTTTCCCTCCCTCATTCACCCTCTCTCTCTCTCTCTCTCTCTCTCTCTCTCTCTCTCTCTCTCTCTCTCCACTCTCTCCACTCTCTCCGTCTCTGGAGGCCAGGCAGAGGGAAAGGATCTGGAAAAACAGACTTTGATATTCCGCTCTCATACCTGAGCTTCAGTCACATGCTCCTGCCTGGAGTCGGACTCCCTCAGTAACATGGGCTTTTTTCCTCCGTCTCGCTGCAGTGTGAGGCGTGTGTCAGTGCTGGCTGCTCTCTCCGCTGCGCCGCCGTGCGATGCGTGTATGTGTCTGCAGCATGCCGAGGAGAGCGTTGGCTGTCAGCGGAGGCAGCGGCCCCGCTACTAGCCTGTGCCTGCCTGAGTTACGCTACTGCTTGTGTTTCCCCTGTACAGTGCTGCTCCAACACGGTGCTGACCCAAACATCCGCAACACTGATGGCAAGTCCGCCCTGGACCTCGCTGACCCTTCCGCCAAAGCCGTCCTGACTGGTGAGTCCGCTGCAAACTGGCCTTACCTTCTTAGTTTATTCTCTCTCTCTGTCTCACTTACATGCTGTCTTGCACAATCTCTCTCTTCTGTAACTGACCTCTCTCTCTCTCTCTCTCTCTCTCGCTCTCTCTCTCTCTCTCTCTCGCTCTCGCTCTCTCTCTTTCTCTCTGTCTTTGTTTCTCACCTGTGTCTTTTCTGTCTTTTTTTCCTCTTTCCCCAGCTCCTGAATTCTTACTTATCTTATATATTCTCTCTCTCTCTCTCTCTCTCACTTACATGCTGTCTTGCACATTCTCTACCTAACTGCCCTTTTCCTATCTATTTTCTCTGTTTCTCTCTCTCTCTCTCTCTCTCTCTCTCTCTCGCTCTCTCGCTCTCTCCTTCTCTCTTGCTCTCTCTCTTTAAAACGTTCAGTGTTTATGTTCTAGTTATGGATGTATGCTGCAGGAGTGTTGCTGCCTGTGCAGTGCTGCTATGTCTCTCTCTCTCTGTTTCTCTCTCACTCAACCTCCTTCATGTTTTTTGGGCAGCGATCAGAGATTCATACATAATGAAGCTGCTGTACTTATCTTCACACATGGCGCCTCGCATGCACATTTTGCTTCTGTTTACTCTGTGTTACATCATATCTTCTCTGGTTAATACATTAATGATACGCAGGGAGCTGTGGATGTGTGTAATTTTCCTTGCTGAGAACAATTAAGAGTCCAACAAGTATCTCACTCATGTGCCACTCCATCACAGCCGCTCTCTTTCTCTGCACATGCACGTAATCACTGCTTCTAAAATAAACAGAAGCATCATTATGAAGTCTAAATTGACATTTACACTTACTCACTTGGCAGAGTGAATGTAGATTTACGCATTTGTAGTGATGCACTTACTGATTTTTAGCATGCCTTCTGAGCGACTAACAAAGAAAACATGTAAACAGTAGAAGCCAATGTGCGAGAAAGTGTGAAACGTCTGAAAGGATTCAAGAAAGCTAGAGTGGCAAGTGTCATTCTGCCTTGATGGAGTGCGGTTGTACATTGAGGCAAACCAATCTTTTTTTAGTGCAGTAAGAGCACTGGCTGTCTCTTATTTAAGTTTAGCAAATAAGAAGTTCTTAGCAACTGAGTAGATTGGTAAACGCTTAAGTTTCTATAAATATGTCTGCGTTGCACTTAATGAGGTCCTAAATGTGCTTTCTTTCTTGAGAATGGCACACTTATGGCAGCTGGGATCAGAACAGTTATTATTACTCATTTATCACCTGCTGCGTAATTCAGCCTGAAAAACATTCCATCTCAAATTAAATGGATATTAGATACTTTTTCCCCCACAGAGAAGGAACAAGAGTTATAATACTCCATGCTGAGATTTAATAAGATGCTGTACTTGTCAGTGCAGGTTAAAGTCTTGTACCACATAGATCCCTCAAAAAGTAAGCAAGGTTAATGGCACCGCTGCGTAGCTTACACCTCACATTAAGGAGAGTGTATTATGAGTGCCACTTCAAACGCTCTGTTCTAACTTTCAAGTATGCTTAGTCAAGCTCACTTTTCTAAGACTACCGCATGTCGGAAATAAGTTATTTGAAGGTATCACGGGTTTGTTGCTCACTGCCTTGGAAAAACCTACTCCACATCAGCAGCTCCACATCAGCGACAAAGCCGTTTAGAACTCTCTCTTATATACAGTCAATAAAGGAGTCTGCCTCAAAAACAGATAACAAATATCTATTGAGAAGACCTGCTCTCACATTTTGGTGATAATGGTTGAAGACATGTTTGCTGTGTGTGTGTGTGTGTGTGTGTGTATAAATAGCACAAGACTTCTCCAGCTACTCAAGTACTTCACGTAATTGTTACAGATCCACTTTCCTTATTCTCTGCAGATGTCTAGGCTGTCTCTCTGACCCTGCAGTTCTCAGGGATTTATTACTACCCCACTGCTCGCCTCTTATCATATAGGACTAAGAGAATGCGGTCGTATTTGCTCAGCTTTTGGTAGTACTACATATTGCTCCTTTTGATTAGGTGTCCTTTAACATGATTGAGGTACTATACAGCACTGTGCAAAAATCAGAGACTACCATTCGTTTGTTTAATATCAGAATGGCTAGTATATACAAATGATTTATTTTTCAGCAGGGGGGAAAAACAGAAGACATACATTTGACCAAAAATTATGCAGAAGTCTCAGGAACTTAAAATATGAAATTTTTCAGTATTTAGCGTGTCCCTCTTTTACCTTTGTTAGCTTCCATATTTCTGGGAGACTTGCTTTCAGTTTCAAGAAATCTGCAGGGTTGTTTTTCTACATCTTCAAAGGTCAGTCTTTGGATTTGGTTGCAAAATCTGGACTCTGGGGTGGCCAGTCCATTGTTCTGAGAACACCAGCAGCTTCTTTGTTTGATTTGCAACTGTTCTTCTCTTTTGTCTATTTCTTTTTCTCTGTAACAGCTTCTTGGAAGTGGCACGTTCTTTCTGATTTTTATTTTTTTCACTCTCTCTCAAAGATGAAAGCTTTAAGTGCTGTTTATCTGATAGTGACAGTTTTGGTGGTCTTATTTTATAAACTTTTTTAAAATTTTGGAAACTCATTCGCTTATTTTTCTTTGACATTCCCTTTCCTTATGCAAGTGGGTTATGTTAAATATGATATCCCCAGAAATATCTCCTAAAAAAATGAATGACTTGTACTTAAAGGACATTTTGACTGGAAATTAAATGGTAAATTAAATGAATGAGGAAGCATAGGTGACAAATATGACACATTTGTTTCACATAATTTTGGTGATAATAGCAGAAAGAATGCATTGCACACAGTGCAGGGTCAGTAAGATGCTATTGAACTCATAAGCCTTGGTGTATGTGCAGATTATGTTGCCCAAACATCAGAGCACATCTGAGTTTAATCTTTTCATCTTACTTTCCAGGCTTTGGTGCTATTAGTTCCAGACTTTAGCTCTATCAGTTTGCTTTTAAGCTAGTGCAGTTACGTTGATTATTCATTCAGGTATGATCCTGCTGCTGCTATTAAAGAAAGGTAGTTCCCAGCAAGTCATTTACACAATGCTGCAAGTAAATTGCTTGGCTTGGAGGGGTTTTAGTTATCCTGTGAATTTCAAAAACTACTCAGACCAGAATGGTAGGTGTGACAGATGCGTCCAGTCAGAACACTGTGGACTCTGTTGGGAGGAACACCAACAGACCATTGAAGTCCACTTGAAATCAAAATGTACCTGTTTTGTTTACCTTGTTAATTCAGGTCTCTGATCATATTAAACAAGGTTTGCCATGTCTCCCATCAAAATGTGAAGACGTTTACCTGAGGGTTCACACATTTGGTTGGATTAAAACAAACTCTGGTGTGATTGTTCTGTTAATGCAGTCCACTAGGATAAGGAAGAAAGGTGCGTTTCAAACCCTAGTGCACACCAGACAAGTGGAGTGAGACCACCTAAGAAGTTCAGTCTTGGTCCGTTGGTATGCACAAGAGACGCATTTCTGATTATGAAAGTGTGGTGAATGTTATCCCAGTTATTATTGCCAAATGTATGCCTCAAAATCTGCCCATTCAGTTGTGACTTTTTTGTCCTTGTGACATTGTTTACAACTTTTAGTTCGATGTCAAACATGTCAGTGTGGATGATAAGCCAACCAGAACAAAAATGCAACAGTGTATCATCATCTGCTTTGTTCCAGACCAAAGGAAACAAACTGCAGATCTGTGGGATGTGGATAAATACTCTTCACTTCCACTTCCACAACTATTATTAAGCAAAAAAGCAGAGAAAACTTACTCAGAAGACCCAACAATCAATATCTAATATCAAAATTTTCAGTATTAAGTGTCTCCACCCTTTGCCTTTATTATACCTTCTCTTCTTTTTGAGAAACTTGCTATCAGTTTCTTTCAAAGAAAAAGGAGATATTTTACCACACCTCCGAAATTCAGTCTTAGAAGTTGGTTGCATTTTCTCCCTCTCACAATCCAAGCAATCCCAAATACATTCAGTGATGTTGAGGTCTGGGCTCTGAGAACGCCAGCAGCTTCTTTGATTGGTTTGCGCATGTTCTTCAGTTTCAGTATGCCTTCTGTAGCCACATCAGGTTACTGTGTCAGTGAAGAGATGTTTAACATTTAGAAATGATCTCCAGTTGCTATAGCCTTGTCAAATATCAGTGACAAATTAATAGGTATCACTCTATTTTAAGGAACACACATTGGGAGTTTATTAAGGTCTTGTTATTTACTCGGTAAAGCCCAAATTAAACATTTCTAAATAGATTATTTCATGTGTATTATGCTTTATTCATTATGACCTGTATTAGTAAATAATAGCAATTTTCATGTAAAAATCACTAATAATTGCATTATTAGCAGTAATAATGCATAATAAATACTTTAAGACAATGTTCTGCAAATTACTGAACATGTATTAAAAAATGTGTGTGTGTGTGTGTGTGTGTGTGTGTGTGTATATATATGACTTACTTCGCTCTGCTTTAAGCTTTAGCTACAGCCGCTTTTCTTCCGTCTCCGCCAGAAAACTTTTCCTCAAAAGTTGAATAGTTTCTTGTAAAATGTCTCTCAGCTTTCAGCTGTTTTACGAGGCTGAAGTCGCTTCTCACTCGCCAGCTTCTTGCTGAACTTTCCGGTTCCACCTTAAATTCTGACTGAGACGCCGAATGTAATTGCGGCACCATTTAAGGTGGAACGGGAAAATGAGAAAGAGAAGCGACTTCATCTTCGCAACTATTTAGTTAGTGTTTGACAGTCTCTAATCGTTTTATAATCGCATCGAAGCCCTCTGAATCGTAACCGAATTGAATCGTGAGGTGCCTAAAGATTCCCACCCCTAACATATATATATATATATATGTGTGTATATATATATATATATATATATATATATATATATATATATATATATATATATATATATGTGTGTGCATGTGAAAGAAATAGTTTACTAAATTTGCACATATCTAAATCTACATGTTGAAAG